ATAATAATATCAATACTATATTTATATTTATATAGTATATTATATTTATACAGTCCTTCCATTAACAATAAAACACGGTGATTGTCTAGAAACTCTTTATTATAGTAAGACATCAACAATTATTGCACAAGTTTGAAAAAAATGATTAATAAACAAAGGAGCTAGATACTATTAGCAAAAATAGAATGTCTTGACTTATGATTCATATCTTTAAATTAAAATTAGTAGCTTATTTTGTATTTTTCAGCTTGTTTCCAAATATGGTAGCAATCAGACATTTTGAATTATCAATTTTGAATTTTGAATTGAATTATCAAAGACTGCAGTCGTTCTTGTGGAGCATTTTCCAATGTCTCAATGAGAGCAGCCTTTAGTTCAGTGATGGTCTTGCATTACTTTCCACTCCTATACATTTGGAAAACCAAGTCACCCTAAAGATTTTCAATTGGGTTTAAATCTGCACTGAGTCCAAAAGCTGGACATTCTTTCTCCGAAAAAAGGATAACATTGATTTTGATACACGGAAACTTGCATCATCCTGCATGAATTCAAAGTCCTGTCCAGCAATTTTCTGTCCGTAAGTTTGGAGCTGCCTCCAGACAAGCTCCTGATACATTTGAGAGTTGTTTTGACTTTCAATAAATAATAGATCTGTCTTTCCATTCCATCAAACCACCACTGGCTACTCTCTTTGAGTACTGCTTTTGATCTAGTCTTTTGTCTGCCTAATAATAATAATAATTAACCATCAGGTTCGTTGAGATTCCACTTTTTCTCATCTGAGAAAATTACTTTTTGCCATCCTTCTCTTCTTTCAAAGTTGTTTCTGGTAAACTGTAATCAAAGGTGTTTGTGTTTCTCCTCGAGCTGGTTGCCTGTCTTCATTTTGATGAAAGAAACAATGTTTCTTTCATCAAAATGATGAAAGAAACAATGTTTCTTTCATCAAAATGATTGATGAAATTACTGTTGATTTACTGCAGCTCAGCTTCAATTCATTTTTGATTTTCTGGACAGATGTGTTTTCTTGCAGTGCATGTTGAACAATTGCATGTCATTCTCTAGGTATTGTTGAACTTTGCACCCACTGTTTCGTTTTCTTGTTTGTTGATCTTTATTATTGATATACTTTGAGATTGTTGAATGAGGTCGTCCCAAATTTTTAGCAATCCAAGTTACTTTTCTCCCTTCCTGGTGAAATACATCAATTTTGATCTTTTCTTCTACAGTTAGGTCCTTCCCACATCCCATTTTTAATAAGTAAGATACTATGCAATTTACTAAACCTTTCTTTTCAATTGTTGATCATATTTTTTTGCAAATTTCATGGATTCCAATAATAATTTCAATCAGTACATGTTATATTAATGTTGGACATCCTATTTTTGATAATAATATCTAACTCTTTTCTTTATTAATCAGTTTTCTCCTAACTTATACAATAATTGCTGATATTTTGCTATTAAACATACTAGAAAATTTCATTAAAGTTACATGAAATTAATAGCGTTTCTAGGCAATCACTGTATATTCTATTAGTGTTGAAAGGACTAAACTCAGATCTTCATCTCGAAGTCAAAAATCAGAAAGCTTTTTATTTAGCCTTTTTAGAAAGAACTTTTATCTTCTGAGTCATTATGTATAGTACTAGAAAAAGCATAGCCTCAGTAAAAAGACCACTAAAGAAACATAACAATTAAATGATGACTTACAAAATTATTATTTTTAAAAATACTTTTTAAAATCAACCTTTAAGACACTGTCCCAGCTACTTCTTTGAAGACATTGTTTTGAATTACTTTCTCAATATTTGGTCAGATGCTTAAATTTTATCTAATTTTGTTAGCAAAACTCATCAAGAGTCATTTAACAGTCTTTGAGAAACTTAACATTATATGGTGTACTAATATTTTATTAATTTCCAATTTATCTTGGACATGACTCTCTCGTTTCAATTAGATTCTTCGACTGCCACTGAAAATTTACAGAATCATCTGGGGATTGACCCCTTTCCCAGGAGTTTTTTTTTTGCTCTTCCTCTCTGATTACATTTGTAGTGTTGTTCACCAACAAAAAGTTCAGAGTTCACAATCATTGTGAACACTGTACAAGGAATCACAAACAGTGGGAAAGGTGATGGGTGATGGCTTTTTATATCCTTCTCTGCTCCCTCTCGTGGCAGTGGGAATTTCACGAATCGGCTGCTACACATTTATTGTTTCAACATGATCAATAAAGTCTGAGTATCAACTTTATATATTTTCATGGTTCAAAGTTCTACAACATAAGTTGTTTAGATGTGAAAAAAAAAAATACAGTAGAGCGTCGATTTTCCGAAAGTCAATCATCTGAAAGAATTCCAGTCGGCAAATTTAAATTTTTGCCAGTGCTGTGGCGCTTCAATCTTTGGCTATGTCTTGGGCTACTCAAATATTTTATGTTTTTGATACTAAATTAACATCTGAAGTTTAATTATTATGCCTTTTTGTCCTTTTTTAACACTGTTTATAATTTATTTTTGTATACTAGTACATTCTATATATTAACAGGACTTATTATACTGGAATTATGGATGCAGATATTTAGTCTTACAGTTTAAAAATAATGTTCTTTATTAAGTTCACAGGTGAACGTAATAAAGAACATTATTTTCACTATTGCACTATTGCTCAATATCTTCATAAAATTTATTGAAATTGGATTTCTTTGTCCTTTTGATTATTTTATCAATGGCAATCTATAGCATTTTGATTGAATTTACATTGGACAATTGGAATAGTCATTTTAAAGTTGTAACATTATTAATTCTAAGAAACTTATTGGTATGCCTCAAAGTGTGTTCAGGATCATTGCTTGAAATTTCTAATCTGATACTAATTTTTCGTGAGCAAGAGAAGAACATTTTCCAAAATTTCAACATATGCATACTGATCTATTATTCCATTTACACAATGAATTAAACCAACCTTGTGCACAGACGCCGTTTCTCTCACCATTATTAAACCATCATCTCCTTTTGTTGTCTGTTTAATGCATTTTAGATTAAATTTTTTTCAGTATAAAAGTTCAGTTGTCTATGTTCACTTTTCCATTACATTTGGAATGAATTAATATTACACAGTTTGTCATTCATTTGAATGATAAAATGTGCTATAAGTAATAAAATATAATTAATATAAGATAAAATTTTGAATTTAGACATGAAATTTTCCTATGGGAGAAGAAACTTAAATTGGCCTTAGAAACAAGACAAACATTGCATTCAGCTTTATTCAAAGAAGAATTTCAGGCAATGAAGATAACACTTCATAATTTGAAGGTAAAATTATTCAAAGTAATTTGAATACTTATTTTTATTTTCAGAAATAATATATTTTATAAAAAATAATTAAGTATTTGATTCATACTTAAGTAAATTAAGTAAATAAATAAAAATGTTAATAGTAATTAAAATAATATTACTTAATTAATGTCATTTGATTATTTATTTTTTCATAACTAATATAATTGAATATTTTCCATTTCCAAAATTAATGTTATATACAGAATGAAATTTTTAGTGATTTAAGTAATTTGATGTTTGATTTTAGTTAATTTCAAATAGGAATTATTTAATTCAGTCATGTTTTAAACTGAATTTATGAAATTATTTTTAAATCTAAGAGTAGCACAGGTAATATACTATCTTATTCATATCCTTGTTAACATTACAAATTATGTTTTTGATTGAAAATGTTTTATGTTTCTTAGACTTTATAATGTATTAATTAGGCTCAAAAATCAAAATACTCAGAGTGGAAAAATGACCTGAACATGTTGTGGTTTTACAAAAAACAACCACAAGAAATTTCACATCCTAGCTACTTATAAAGAACCAACATGCCTTCTGGCATTTGAAAAAAAATGCCATGATTTACCATGATAACAGTCCAACACAAATGCCACAATGGAATTTGTGCTGGGACTGTTAAAAAATGATTACAATTCATTCCAGCATTATCAACACACTACAACACATTGTTGCAGAAACAGAAGGAATTTTTATCAAAGATGCAAACAACAATCTGCTATCTTATCCACATTTAGGAAAAAGAGAAGGGCTTCAATTCAGTTATTCATCAGTTTTTATCTGATGTCACATAAGCAGACATATTTGGCTTAATCAGTTTGGTACCAAAGAAGGCCAGCTTGAGTGTTTCTGTGCTCATAATGAGTTTACAATTGCTGATAACAACTTCATGATGCCTTTGAAATCCAGTCTTTTCAGTCTCTCAAATATAAAGTCTAGAAGTAAAGAGGACTTTGTAAGCCTTAATAGCAAGAGGTACTGCATCAATAAAAAATGAAAATGTCATTCAAAAGATAGAACAATATTTAAAATTACAGTTGATGACAGTTCCTGCAAAAATAGTTGAGCATGGTCATTGTTTTTGATGATTTTACATATTTAGTCATATATCCTGAGCTCTTTTTATTTTCTATTGCAGAATAAACAGTAATTTATTACATACTAACACCTGAGTTAAACCTTCTGAATGAGTATCTAGTACTGTTATTAAAGTATTGTAACCTCTAAAGTATCTAGTCGACACCTCTTTGATCTCTTGTCAGGACTGACACCACCTTGTCTCAGTTGACATGGGAGCCCTCCAAACTTATACAATAATTGCTGATATTTTGCTATTAAACATACTAGAAAATTTCATTAAAGTTACATGAAATTAATAGCGTTTCTAGGCAATCACTGTATATTCTATTAGTGTTGAAAGGACTAAACTCAGATCTTCATCTCGAAGTCAAAAATCAGAAAGNTTATTTTCTATTGCAGAATAAACAGTAATTTATTACATACTAACACCTGAGTTAAACCTTCTGAATGAGTATCTAGTACTGTTATTAAAGTATTGTGACCTCTAAAGTATCTAGTCGACACCTCTTTGATCTCTTGTCAGGACTGACACCACCTTGTCTCAGTTGACATGGGAGCCACAACAGCGATTTTAGTTTGGATTAATCAGTAGATCATACGAGTGGCCATGTGCGCAAGCAATTGGTTCCGCGTGATGGAGACGGAAAGACAGCCTGATGGAAGTAAAGTACTCAGACACTAACATTAACAACCAAATAACTGTTAAATTTCAACAAAAAGGAGTACATGATACAATATATCAACTTAACCTACCTATCTAGTGGTTGCAAGAGAGAGAATTCACATGAGATTCGCGCAGGGATAAATACTTTGTAGAGGATGGAAATCTGATGCATGCTGGTTGGGTTGAAAGGAAGAAAGTTCTAGATGACAGTTCTTATTCCAGGTGTGCAATAGATAATATGGTCATAGGCAAAAAGGATGATGTACCCATAGAGATAATTAAAATGATATATGCCCTATTATATCATCAGATACATCTGTATATATAATAAAACGTTGTATCCAAATGTGTACCTGAAATTTGAGGCATCTCTACAGATAATTATAATTGTATTTTAATGTACTTATTGATATATAATGTAATATTATGGAGATTAATAATCAAATTTTATTTTAAATAAGAATGAAGAATATAATTTAAAACGAATACAAACTGAGATTATATTAGAACAACAGAAGGAAATTGACATTTATGCATCACTTACAACTAAATTGAAATTTTACAATAAAAACTGCAAAAAAAATAACAGTGAAAAATTTTATTTAGAAACTAAACATCTGCAAAGAATAATTAAGTCTCTAGAGCAGGTAATTATACATTTATAATTTCTAATAATATACTGTACTTTTATTATTATACAATTAATATAATACAGTAATTTCAATAATCCAATAAACTACTATACCAGGATAAACTAGCTACTATAGTTATTCAGCTGAATTAATCAATGCACCTTTTAACAGTGGACAATGATTATGAATTATGAGGAATGTATACTCTTCATAATCATAAATTTGAAAATTACAATAAAAAATTCTAACAACACTGTTCCTGGGTAGTAAGTGTCATTTTCCAGTTGCTAATTTCTATTTCTTGGTGACTAAGCCACCAATATTTTGAAATGAAATTTATCTATTTTCCAGAACATTCATGATAGAGTTAGTACTGAATAAACTCTGAGTTACTTCAGTACTAAATCTATTATGAATGTTCTGAAAAATAGATAAATTGCATTTCAAAAATATCATTGTCCTAGTCACAAAAAAATAGCAATTAGGACTTTGAATGCCACAACCAAAGACAGTATAATGAGAACATTATGGGGCTGATTTGTGAAATTTATTTACAGTATAATTGTAAATCTTAAAAAAAACCCACTCATTTCTAAATTTTTTATGGTCATATTTTATGGTTATACTTTAGGACATATTCATTTTGCTTATGTTTTCTGTAATTTTATGTGAGCAAATTGAAAATCCAGGTGAATTTGCATCTTTGGAAATAGGTATATTTCCAAGTATCATTCTCCTGGTCACAAAATCCAAGTTTTCACTGTTTTGCTTATACAGAATATGAAAACATTGATAATTGATTAGAATAAATCCATTATCCAAAATATTTGATATAGAGATGTATTATATAATTGTTATATTGTAGAAAGAATAAAATTTAAAAAAAAATGAATTTTTAATTGCATAATGAATGATATATTAATTCCAAATTACTGTAGTTATAAAAATTTACATTACTTTAGGATATTGCCTGTAAGGAGGAAGAAATTATATCCTGCAGAAAAACAGAACAACAACAACAAAAACTTGATGATCTAAAACTTCAAATATCTGACTTAGAGAAAAAAATTGCTGTTTTAGATATTGAAATACATAACATAGAAAGGGAAACATTTATGGTAAAAAACTAATCAATTTTCTGTTTAAAATATGACAATGTAATTTGAAATTTTTTATTCAAATTTCAGACTAAAATTTGTACTTTTGAATAATTTGTAAAGTAATAATAAACTTTATTAAGTTTATTTAAAACAAAATTTTTTCTAAAACTCATATTGTTAAATTAAATGGTTTCCAGTTATAAATTTTAATTTTGCTTTAAGATTTTTCATAATCTCCAATTTATTTTTAAAACATTGAGAAAAAATAATTTACTTATACATATACAGGTATCTCTTGTACAACATGGTTTCGAAAATCTTCAGTGTAAACTTCGTTATTAGATTTTTTTTATTTAAGTAAGCACATGTATTGTCTCAAATGTGCCCATGGATTCTAGAATAATGAAATTTCCAAATTATTTNATAAATTTCTAATTGTATATTTATAACAGAAAATATGTTTTAAGTTAAAACAGAAATGTTTTAATTTGCTGCTTAAAAACTGTTTATTGCATTGTTAATACAAATGGTTTTCTTTAATTACATAACAAAATAAAAATAAAATGTTTTAATTCTTAGAAAATAAATAATTAAAGGAAAATGGAAGAGTAAAAAAACATTTCCATAGGTCTACATGAATATTGGTAACTATGAAAATTTTTAGCATGTGATAGGTGAACAGTTAAACTTTAGAAATTCATTTAAATCCTTCAAGTTTTATATAAATGAGACTTTCTATATATTAGAACAATAATTTGATAGATTCTGATCTAATATCTACATGTTTTTAATTTTTTTCTTTTTTATTAGGATTTAATGAAGTTGGTTTTGAAGCAAGAAGCCACAAAATATTATGAAGCCATCAGAAATGGAAAATATGTTATGTCTTCAAAAATTTCGGCATTTTCTAGTGCCTTAAACATGGAAAAAAATAATTTAAACAAAATGAAAAAGATATTTGAGTCAATCTGTGAAGATTATCCAAATTTAATTCAAGAATTTGAAAATATTTTTGATTGTATGGAATCTGCCAAAATTATATATTAATTGTACTCTTTTAAAGTTTTAAAAGAAATATGTTTAGAAAATATAAATAGATCAATTGTATGTATTATTTTTTACAGTTCTAAAAATACAGAACACATTGCAGAAATCAATTTATTTGTCATAAATATTTTCATTACAATTTGTATAAATTGACATATGCCAGTATACAAATATATATATATTTATAATATATATATGCTATTTTCACAACCAATAAACTCTAAAAAGTAATCAAAGCCACCACCAATTTTTTTGTCGTATAAGTTGTCGTATTTGACAAGTTGGCTTTTAACAATACCACACCACAAATAAATAAAGTAAAAAATATTAGTTTCTTTTTATTTTTTAATCCCTCTGAAATATTGGCCAATGTGCGTTCAAATTAGTTGCAATATTATTGCAAATATAAGTTCACTTGAATTTTTTTTTTTTTAGGGTATTTTGCCACATATAAGAAATTAAAAAAAATATTATAGAAAATTGTCTGTGGAAAATTTACATACCAACCAACAGACATGTGAGCATATTATTCCCAACAAATGGGATTATTTGTACTCTTTTTAATACATACAATAATAACCAGTTTGAACACACATAATAAAATCATAATAATGATATTCTAAAGTTCAAAATCATTACATTTATAAATTTGTATTCATTTGTTCCTGGCAAATTAACATTCTAAATTTCTGATATCTTCTTTTAGTTTCAAATAATATTTGAAATTTATAAAATTAAAAAAAAATATCTATTAAAAACTAAACATTTATAAATTATAACATATCTATTAATAAATATTGAACACAACTGGAAAGTTTAGCATCTATAAATGAGGTATACAACACAAAGTATTTTAAAATATTGAAATTTAAAATAACTTTGAGTCAATGCTATTTATTCCTGAGTAAAGTGCTTTGTTTATATATTTGAATATAAATTGCACGTCAGATTTGCTTATGGGGTTTCAGAACTATGATTCTATGATTTATACAATATGATTGATCAATTGTGACTCATTACAGTTTGAGAACCAAAATACAGTATTTTTGTTAATTACATATAATGTAATAATATATGTAAACTGCAATGCATTATTTTATAAAGTCAATTACATAAATCAAAACTATATATTACACAGCAGATATTTACATATAATTATGAGAGAATTATATTTTCTCATGAAGTAATATAAAAAATGTACATAACTTTTTGTAGAAACCATATTTTTTATGAGAAGTGTATACAGCATAAATTCTATTTTTTTTTATTCGTGATACATATATACACTTTTTTTTGTTGCTATGATAAAACAATGGAATAATGGCATATTTTATAGATATTCCCTGCATTATTGATATCTGGCACATTATTCAGTGATGAAAAATATAGGATGTATGAGGTAATTATTTCTTCTATCTTTACAGCTTCTAAAACTAATACCTGGCTTAATTTGTTCATGAATAAAACTAGATTTGTGAATATGTATAAAAATTCAAAATAATTCAACAATAATTACAGAATAAAATTATTTACATTAAGAAAATTTGAGCTGATTCGAAAAATGTGCTTCTGGCGGAAGACAGAATCCACGGCACCATTACAAGTTTAAGTTTCTGCCATTTTACTTCCAGGGCTTATCATGAATACTAAAAAATCATATAATGGGCATTCAGATACAATATATCTATCTTCCCAACCATATTCCATTAATGAAAAAATAACAATGGATTTAATCCTTGCACTTCAATGAGCTCAAAATGTCATAAAAATATTTAAAGGTTGATAAAAACCTTATATTATTCTCTTGAAGAGAACACGTGATAACAATTGCAAGAATTCTGAAACAATACAGAAAATATACATAGCAAAATATATTACATTTGAATTATGTCTTTTTATAGCAATTACAACTAATTAAAAGACTATAGTGACTGATGACATTTTCAAAAACTAGATATGTAATAAAAGAAAAGGTTGTATATAATACAAATTTCTTAAAGTTAAAAAAAATTGTACTTCATTTGGATTATTAAACAACCAAATGAACCTGTGATGTGTTGACACTATTTCATATCCAAACACATTACTAAAAATAAAATAGAATAATACTGATGTACTTATTTGTCTTGTTTGTATTCTATAAAAACATAATACAGTAAATGAAAATATATGATAATATTATAGTCCAAGATTAAATTAAATAGGAAAAATTGACCTTTTTCTATTGCAGTGTGACTAATTTTCTTGTTACTGAAATATTGATAATTATGTTATGTTTTTGCACAACATTTACATGAATATCAAAATTCAGATGTGATGTATTTCTCAATGAGGACTTAAATATAAATAATTGTTGTTAATTAATTAATGCTTCTAGTCCTTTAAATAAAATAAAATAATTGTTCTGTTTGAGAGACAATGGGTCTGTTTGTTTGATTGAGATAGTGCACATTTTTTTACTGTCAATTTGACATCATTTCTGCAGTTTTAAAATAAGATATTCGAAAGAATGATGTCATTGTATGTAAAAATGTGCACTATCTCAACCAATTGAACAAACCTAATATGTCATTTAAAGTGCTAAAACAAGGAAATATGCTAAAAATATGTAGTTCATTTCAGTAATTTTATATAAAAGAATAAAAATACAAAAGAAAAAAATAAAGAAATATTGCATTTCTTTATTTTTTATTTATAAATATTTGATTGAGTAATAAATAAATAATAAAATTTAAACACACATTTTCACATACTTAAATTATATCCATAATTTAAAATATTGTATTCTCCTTTTTAAATTTATCTTTCTTTAACTGAAAATGGGTTTAATTATTTATTTTTTATTCTACATCAATTAACTCAATTGTTTAAAAATCTGATTCTAATGGAAAAGAATAACCATTATAATAAAAATTTCTACTAAATGAAAAATGATACAATCATTTTAAACATTATACATCATTATTCTTAATTTACTGAAAATTAATGAAGCATTAAAACATTTTTATATTCCCCATTTTTAAATAATATTGATAATATTAAAATTAACAACATTAACAATATCTACTATTATATTAACTACATCACTTTTTTGAAGTATGTTATACAATGTTTTTGCTACAATATTTATTCTTTGACTTGATAAATGGAATGAAGAAACCTAAGTTTAAGCAAAAGAATATTTCAAACTCTGAACTATTTACTGTAAAGATAATCAACTTATATATTTTAATAGAATTACTTTTTTAAATTTCATTTAAAAGTCAATATTAAGAAATATTAAAATCCATAGTAAGAACTATAGTATAGAATTAATAATAAAAATATAATGATAAAGAGGAAGATGTTTGATATATGGACAATGTTTTAAATATAAATTAATAATAATAAATTATTATTATTAATTTCCATAAATTCCATAAATTAATAATAATAATTATTAATTTATGGAAGTTAATACATAAAATTATTGACTAGTATCAATCTGACTGAAATCAGATTTAATACATAAAACAGTAATGAAGTCAAAGAAAATCAATAATTGATTTTCAAAGATGCTTTCAACAATGCCAAAGGATATTGTTTAAAAACATACATGTCAAAGTTAAGAGACTGTACCAGATATAGGTAAATATATTATCTGAATTATCATTAAAAAATTAGACACTAAGAAAAATCTAAGATATGTTCAATGCACATGATGCAACTGACAGATATGCATGAATAATTTTTCTATTACAATAAACAATAGTAATGAAGGCTAAATTAAAGTAAATACAAAGATTACACTTTATAACTTTTTTTTTCCTCAATTTTTATATAAAATAAAATGTAAACTTGTTCTTTTAGTAATTAAAGTTTTAAACAATACTCATAATATACTTTTATCCTTAATTAAAAGACTGAAAAATATTCAAATACAAATATAAAAATAAGAATTTTGTAAGAATTTAATAATTATTAAAATATCAATATTCTAGTTTCTAACACTTAGAATGGTTGCAATAATTTTAGACATCAAATATTGTAGTCTGATAATTTGCAAATCATTTCAACTATGTAAAAATTATGATTGATTTTATTAAATAAAGGTTAACTAAAATGATTTAATCTGTTTCATTTGGTTCTTGTTTGTAAAATGTATGATTTCATATATAGGTTGATATGTTTTCATTTGGCAATAAATAATGCAAAATTATATTCAAATTTACTATATAAAATTATTGTGTATGAAATTAAACATTTAATTACAGTTTAAAAAATAATAATTATCTATTTAGAAATTATTCAATCATATTTTCAATTGATACTCAATATATAAGCCCAATTCCTTCAATTATAAGGAACAAAAAAATAAAACTTTTCATTCTATTAACTTTATCAGCATTAAAACAATCTTAAAATTACTTCAAACATTTAAATAATAATAATGCCAGTACTTCACAAATTAATTTTTGTCAGTCTCAATCTCTTTTTAGACCAAATAACAAGTCTGTACAATTTATATATACTGATGTGATACTTAATTCACAATATTATTCACTTAATATGTAAATGGATATGAAATAGTATCAATCAAATTTCTGCTTATAAAAACCTGATTTTTTAATACCTGAATACAAAATGTTAACATATAATAAACATTACCATTTAATAGAATATAAAACTATACAATATTCACATTGTAAAGAATCCAATTATTTCGGTTTTAAAAAAAAGTTTGTTAAATGCTTATATATTTGAATAAAGCTTTCTTAACTTTATTTNAGACAGATTCTTTAACCCTTTCAAACGGAAAAATCATGACTATTAAAAATGCAAGACTATGTATGTATGTATGTATTTTTATTATTACATATAAATAAACATAGTAAGAAAGTAGTATATATTTTTCATTTTGGGGGGTCTCCAGAACGAATTAATTAAATTTCCATTAAAACCTACGGTAAATCGATAATCGGTTAACGAACAATTCGGATAGCGAACAAAGTCTTGGAACGGATTATGTTCGTTAACCGATCACCCACTGTATTTTAAAAACTGTATAGATTAGGTAAATTGAACTTTCTGTACTTGTTGAAAATCACTAGAAAAATCC